AATGTTTATTAACATTTCTCTCCTCCTTCCTTCTCTATTCCTCTTATTTCTTTATAATTTATTATACTGGAATTATCAGAACGACTATTCAATCAGGTCATAAAATGACTACGAAAGGCCACTGTCCTCATTTTCCTCTAATTTAATTGGCGAAAGCTTGTAGTTATTTTTATTATTTAAAATATCTGTTGGCTGTATGAGATGATAAAACCAAAAAAAAAAAAAAAGAAAAATGTTTTCCTGGTATGTTCTACGTGGGACAGATAACACGTGGTCTACTAGTTCAGTTCTAGGCATTACCTAGAAGCACTTGAGGTCATACAGAGGTGGTTTGACCAGAAAAAAAAAATTTAATCTAAAAATGTTAAATTATACTAGTTGAAAGACCCAGTAGCATTTATTTCCTAATACTTGCAGAACATCATTTACTCACACTCTATTCTCCCTTTAATCCTCTACCGATATTGCTTGTATAGACGTCACCAGTAATCCCCATATCACCAAATGCAATGGTCAACTTGCTATCTCATCTTCCTCTGTCATCTGCATTCAGCAATGTTGACTATCCTCTTATTTGTGAAATGATTCCTTTCCTAGCTTCAATAACACTTCAGTATCCTGGTTTCTTCCTACTTCAGTGGTCAGCCTTTTCTGTCTCTCTCTGACTCTCCTCCTTTTTTCACCTTCTAAAATCCCTCCAGGGATTGATACCTGACATTTTTTTCCATCTAACTAGGCTCACTCCCTAAATGACTGCATCCATGTCCATGACGTTAAATACCATCTCTATGCTGACGACTCCCAAGTTGATAAGTCTAGTTCTGACTTCTTCAAACCTCAAGACTCAAATGGATTTCTAAATCAGAAATACCTCAAACTAATTCAGACAAAAAACACTTATTTTCTTATACCAAAGTTGCCTCTCCCCAAGTCTTCCATGTCTCAGTTAATACCAGTACCATTTATTCAACTGCATAGTCATCCACAATTCCTCTCTTTCCTTCATCCCTCCATATGCAACCCTCCGCAAGTTAAGTCAGCTGTACAGTGAATATATATCTAGAATCTAACACTGTCCACCACCTCCATAACTGCGACCTTAATCCCCATCATTTCTCACCTAAATGATGAAACAGCCACCTAAGCATCTCTCCCCCTTACAAACCATTCTCTAGCTAGATTAAAACATAAAAAAGACAACATCCTCCAATCATCCTCTTTCCATCATACTTAGAATAAAATGACTTTCCATTGCAGAATAAAAATCCAAACCTCTTACCGTAGCCTAGAAGGCCCTCGTGATTCAGTTCCTATCTATCTTCCAAATTCCTTTTTTTAATACACTTATGCTCACTACATTCCAATCACATTGACTATCTAGCTACTGCTCAAACATACCAAACTCGCTCCTGTGTTGGGGCATTTGTCCTGGTTGTTGGCTCTCTAGTGGCCCATTCTCTTTGATCTATCAGGTATCTGCACAAATGCCACCTACTCCAATAGATCTTCCATGACTATATTACCCAAAAGAACCCTAAACTCTCTATATTTTTTGAGGAATTTTACATTATCCAAATGTATATCATGTTTTACATGATTAATATTTATGTCCTCCACTAGCAAGTCAGTTCTACAACAGGGCTTTTGTCTATCTTCTTCATCACTACATTCCCAGTGACTACAGCAATGCCTACCACTAAATGGGCAGTAAATGTCTGCCTACTAATCTGTGCATTACAGGTGTAAGCCACCACACCCAGTCAAAAGTCTTTATTTTAGATGTACTAAGCATTCAAAAAAATGGATGGAAACATGGAAGAGAAGTCCTGAGGGAGAGGACACAGAGAGGCCTTTCTATGATGCCTACCCTAAAGCTTCTACCGGAAAGACTAAGACTAAATAAGCGAGATTTCCAGAACTAGGAAGGATCCAGAGAAAAGGTCAGTCAAGAACAAAATGGTTGGGAGAATCTTGATTTTAGACTTCGCAGAAATCAGGATGAAGTAGAAAGCAGCCAACCCTTAACTACAAAAGCCTAATTTCTACACTATTCTCTTCCCGGAGAAGGTAAGTAGAAAGACTTCCTTTAAAACTATTGGTATTTCTTCATTGGTATTCCAAAATAATGGTAAACTGTTGTTTGCAAGGAAAAGGGCTTTGTCGTGTGCACGTGCGTGTGCGTGTGCGTGTGTGTGTGTGTGGCCACAGCTACTGTTGGGCAGCTTCTCTTGCATAGCTACAGCTTACAGCTCTCACCAGGTCCCCCGAGGCATGTTTCCTTTTCCCCTTGCCCATTCAACTAGGGGCGATCACAGCTTCCAGCTGTTGCTAGTCTCCAACCTGTTAGTCATCAGCTCATGCTAAGTCTCTTATTTCTTCCCATACCTCGGCAAATAGTCCCTTTATCAAACTCTCTTCAATTAAACCCTTTGAGTATGCCATTGTCTCCCTGCCAGGACCCCGACTGAAACACAGGTAGGACCCAAGAGATGAAACCCTTCCCTGGGGCAGCACCTTCTATCCAATCAATTTAATGTGGCTGCTATATATCTCTGTTTTGGTCACTACTTGAACTCCAAGACTGGTAGATTAATTTAACAACAATCTCTGTTTCTAGCTAATAACCCATTGAATCACCATTCCCCCAGACATCTCCTTGATATAGCCCTACCTGAATATCCTTACACTTGCAATTCTGTTCTATTTTTACTCTCCACTTAACCCTGCCTTCCCAAATGCAACCCACTAGCCATTCCCTAGGATGCCTCTGATGCTGCTGGTACCTCTGCAGGAAGGGTATCAGGTACCAGTCAGAGCAGCTAAGACTCAAAGATGAGCATGTGGCCCTGCAGAGGAATTAGAAAGGAAACCAAGAAAGTAAAGTAGAGGCCCATGGTGGAACTAGGCTGTAAGAACTGAAGGGATGGCTGCAGGTGCATGGCCAAGTTGCCAGACACTACAGGTGGGAGTGTGTAGAGCTACTTGCTGTGGTAAAGCCTGGTTTGGGAGGGGGACAGGTCTAAGCTAACGGAATGAGGTTCACCCTGCCTGAAGGTGAGCAGGGCTAGAAGCAGTAACAGTGAATATTTTCCTCCTCCTCAAACCTTCCTCTTAACCTTCAATATCTTCTGCTCACCACCAGCCTACTCAAATTGCTGATTCTCCTAAAACATCTGTTACCACCACCAAGTCCTACCACTTGAGGAGACTATATGCCCATAGTGGCATGAATTCTGCCTTCTATTTCTGCTGTGTTTTCTGTAGCATTTAGCCTATTGCTAAGTATCAAGAGGACTTCAGAAAATGTTTATTAATTCACTAGCTCATCTTGGCAGCTGATTTCAGTGACTCTCACAGACTCAAATCCTAATATTCCTTGACAACCCATGCCTACCCATACTCTTCCTCTGTGTCCAAATCTCTCCAGCCAACTATTTCCATTTACGTTTTTTCAAAAATCAAAAACTACACAATAACTACATTTCCAGAAGTTGCATGCCATTGACTCTCATCTTTACGAAACTATTTGGAAATAGGATTAGATACTATAGTTTACATATACATTATTTCCTTTTCTTCACAAAATTCCTTAATGGTGGGATGTGACAGGCATTGTGACTCCCACTTTAGAATTAATAAAACCAAGGTTCAGAAAGGTTAAGTAACTTATACAAGACTGCAGGGCTTGTAAGTGATTTTAACTCAGATTAGAATCCAGGTCTGTGCCTGCTATTCCACAGTGCTTCTCTGTTAGCACATCTCTCTTCCTACCCCAGGTTGATATCCTCTTTCCTCCACAGGCTACCAAGTGGGTATAACATCACAGGGAGACATAACAGGGAGATGCCCATAACAGGGCATCTGGCCATCACGTACAACTTCATCACTGGCAGGAAGCCAAGACCCCAATACACATGCTGAGTCCTGACGCCTGGCTTCCACTTGCTGCTGCACTCACTCCTCAGGAGTGATGCTCACCAGCGCTCTATATGGAAAGCATGGCTCCCAGTTCTGATGTCGACAAAGCCATGTGTGCTCATACATCCTCAGCCTCTGATCATCTGTCAAGGCAGCTATGACCAGCAGCCAGAAAATACTCTGCTCTGGTGCTCTTCTAGGCCTCCAGCTAAAAAAATCCGACCACAAGCAGCAGCTTGTTGTCTTATTTCCCCTTTTCCTGGTTCACCTGAATGGATGAGATGCTTGTTTCCATTTTCCCTCTAAAAGAAGACCCAAGTTTTCTGAGAATAGACAGCCAGGAACTCCTGGGGCTGTAAGATAGAGAGATAGAAGGAACAATTGGTCCATAGATGAGAAAAGTATATGGAAACATAAGATTAACTTAGGGTTTTAAAGAGCCATAGTTGAGTAAGTTTGACCCTGTCATAGCTATTCAAAAGGCTAGCATATGTGACCAGTAAAAAATTGTAAGCCTTCTGTATCATACAAATCTTGACTATAAGCCATAGTTAGTAACTGCTATGCTAAAACAGGACTCAATAAACTACTTAACTTCACACCAACCTCAGAACATAACATGACTGCACCCTCTATTGGGATTCCCATGCCAATAATCATATGTGCATTTATGAAGCACTTCATCGTATCCTTAGAGGAGAAAAGCATTTTCTCCATGGTAACAATGACACTGAATGATATTCCCAGAGCACTGGCTATTGTCAAGTCAGACAATATATGATTTAACAGCATTAACTTGATTCAAACTGCCTGGGTTTGAATTCAGACTCTGATACTTACTAGTTGAGTTTCCTGCCATGAGTTACATAGCCCCTTACGCATCTGTTTCCTCGCTTATAAAACTGTGATTAAAAAAAAAATAGTACTTATTTCATGGCATTATTGTGGGAATTAAACTAAATCATACATATAAAGTAAATAGAAGAGTATCCTGCAGGAAGTAAATATTCAATGAATGCTAGCTATTATTAAAGACAAAGATAAGTGGAAGGTTTCTGCTTTTTGCCATGATAAAATCCCTGATTTCAGGCCAGTTTCCTACTGGAAACAACCATAAAGCTGGACAAAAGATGTGAGGCAACTATTTCCAGGCAGTGGACAATAAGCGGCATAAGACTTTGATTCCTCAGAAAATGAAAACTTTATGAGATGAGCCCATAATCATCCTGGTTCTTTGGCCTAGAGACAATTCCCGGACAGAGAGCTGGAGTCCAAGCATAACACAGTGGCCGCACTGTGCTGAGGAAGCAGTGGTCATAGCTTGTGGCAGCTAAAGAGGCTAGAATCTGCGGGGTGGATTATCAGAGACACCTGTGCAAAGAGGGCCCCGTAAGTCCAAGACGAGGTAATCTGTGAATTCATGGCTGAGGGCTGAGTTATACATGCTCAAGGAAAGACTTCCAAGCTTTTCTAGACAGCACCCATTACAGTGTTAAAGGTAAAACACAGTTAGTAGGTTGAGCACTGGTGGGGAAAGGAAAGTGCTGGAACTTGTTGGAGTTCCAGCCCTGCCAGGGTAGAACAGCCTTCTTTAAATGTTATAACATCTGCGGCATCAGTCTGAGATTCCAGAAATGCCACTCTGTAGGAGTAAGATCTGTACCCCAAAATAAGACCTACTGTAGTCTCACCCTAATAAAGACTACATTCAAACTACAACAAAATCCTCAAGGAAACAGCTTAAAGATTGAGTCTGACCAATTTAGAAGGACTTGGAAAATGCCATGAGTTTTCCACAGAAATAACAAAGCATAAAATCAAGCCTGCAAAAGTTCAAGGTGATCAGCCAGTATTTTAGCTGCAAGAATTCATACTTTTCTAAGGGAAACAACAGAATCCAGTGTCTCTAAAGCATATTATCCAAAATGCCCAGTATTTAATTTAAAAACCACTTATACATACAAAGAAAATGGAAAATGTGACACAGATTTTGGACTTGGCATGTGAAACTTTAAGGCAGCTATTATAAATATGTCTTAAAAACTACAGAAAATATGCTCAAATAATTAAAAGTAAATATGGCCCTAATGTGTGAACAGATAGAAAATCTCAGTAGAAAAGCAGAAAATTACAAAAAAAAAGATGTAAATAAAAGTTCTATAACTAGAAAGTACACTAACTGAAATGAAAAAAAAATCATTGTATGGGCTTAACAGCAAATTGGAAATGGCAGAGAGTTGGTGAGCTTGAAGACAGATTAATAATATCATTGATTTGTTCTTATTCTTTTATTTTTTTCACCTTGGCTCTCTGCCTAGAGACAATTTCCTGACTGCAGTAAAGAGCTAGAGTTCAAACACAGCACAGAAATAGAAAAAGGGGGGAAAAACATTGAAGAAAAATGAAAATGCTGCATGTTAATATTTGACACAATATTAAATAATCTAACATATATATATATATACACATTTATATATAATTGGAGGAGTCCCAAAAGATTTTTTAATGAGATTGAAGCAGAAAAAAGCATGTGAAGAAATAGCAGCCAAAAATTTCCCGAATGCCAATTCGATTTTCACTGACTTATAGGTCCAAGAAGCTCAGCAAACCCAAGAAGGATAAATAAAGGGAATCAAACCTAATTACATCATAAACTTCTGAAGACCTGGCTAAAGAGAGGATCTTGAAAGTAGCCAGTAAGAAAGAAAAATAAATGAAGTACAGGGAAACAAGGATAAAAATGACTGCTGACCAGAAGACAATGGAACAATATCTCTAAAGTGCCAAAAACAAAAAAGAGGAAAAACCTGTCAACCCAGAATTCTATTCTCCAAGAATGAGAGAAGTAAAAGCATTTTAAGATAAACAAAAGCTAGGTGACAGAATGGCCTTCAGGCTGAAGGGAAATAATACAAGATGAAAACCCAGATCTACAAGAAGAAATAAGATGTACTGAAGATGGAAAATAAGTGAGTAAATATAAAAGATTATGTTATCATTCTTTTTATAATTTACAGGAGATAACACTGTTTATTAAAACAAAAATGATTATAAGGTGAGGTTTATAGTATACATAGAAGTAAAAGATAGGACAACAGTCATAATAAAGATAAGGTGGACAGTCATATGAAATTACCCTCCTGTGAAGTTATTACACTTCTGAAGTGGGAAGTAAGAATCAAGAAACAGGAAGTAAAAATTGGGAGGTGATGGGTAGGAAGTGAGAAACAGGGAGTATGCAATGTCATATGTTATGTGTGAAGAGATACAATGCTGACTCTAAATAGACTAACATAATTAAGAATGCATTTTTTAGCCCCAGAGCAACCACTAAAAAGATACTAAGTAGAGGTATAAGTAAGAAGACAACAGAGGAAATAAAATAGAAAATATGAATATTTTATTTACCCCAAAGAAGATCAGGAAAGAAACAAGGAAGCAATTGTAATCAGAAATGACAAATGAAATCCAAATAGCAAGACATAGACATTAGCCTAACCACTTCAATAATTACATTAAATATAAATATACCAACCCTCCACTTAAAGGGCAGAGATTGTCATGCTGAAAAAAAAAAGCAACACCCTTATAACTTATAAATATGTTATTTATAAGAAAAGCATTTTAAATATAAAGGAATATATGGGTTGAAAGTAAAAGGATAGAAAAAGTTGTACCCTGCAACTACATGATCCAGCAATTCTACTTTTTGACACATGTTCATATTAACATTTGAATGTAAATGTTCTTTGTAGGTTCATTCGCAATAATCAAAAACTGGAAATGTGTCCATAAATAGTAAGCAAATTGTGGTATATTCATTAATTCAATACTCAATAAAAAGGAACAAATACTGATATGCAATAAAATAGGCAAATCTCAGACATTTGGCTAAGCAAAAAAAGCTAGATTCAAATGATTACATAGTGTGTAATTCCATTTACATGAAATTCTAGAGCAAACAAAGCTAATTTGTGAAGACACCGATCAGACTGATGGTTGCCTTGGGTAGGGAACTGGTGAGTAAAACTGACTGCAGAAGGGCACAAGAGAACTTCCTTTGAAGATGGAAATGTTCTACTTCTTGATCAGAGTGCTAGATACACAGTTGCATATGTTTGTCAAAAGTCATGGACCTGTACACTTAAAATATGTAAATTTTTGTGGAAATTTTACTTCAATAAAGTTGATTTAATTTCTTAAAAAATAAAGACAATGAAATGCTTCTCTTCTCTTTTTGCCATTACATGAAACTTCAACTCATGCTCATTCAGGAAAGAAAGAAAAAGAGAAGTGGAGAATTAGAACAAAATAGGAGCTCACCTCAAAAGAATTTAACTGTTCCCAACCCCTTGTCTATTCTGAATGTAGTCTTTGAATTACCATCCACTATCATTATTATTGTTACTAATCAACTTTGTTGATCTTCAGTAGCGTTAGTTATCTAAAAATCTAGTTTTAAAAATTCTCCTGTGGATCTGGGAAGTTCAAAAACACAAAATACATTCTTGATATGGTTTGGATGTTTATCCCCTGCAAATCTCAAGTTGAAGTCCGATCCCCAGTGTTGGAGGTGGGGCTTAATGGGAGGTGTTTGGGTTATGGGGCTGAATCTCTCATGAATGGTTTGGTGCCTTTCCCCAGGTAATGAGTCCTCACTGTTGTAGTTCACAGGAGATCTGGTTGTTTAAAAGAGCATGGGGGCCGGGCGCGGTGGCTCAAGCCTGTAATCCCAGCACTTTGGGAGGCCGAGACGGGCGGATCACGAGGTCAGGAGATCGAGACCATCCTGGCTAACACGGTGAAACCCCGTCTCTACTAAAAAATACAAAAAACTAGCCGGGCGAGGCGGCGGGCGCCTGTAGTCCCAGCTACTCGGGAGGCTGAGGCAGGAGAATGGCGTAAACCTGGGGGGCGGAGCTTGCAGTGAGCTGAGATCTGGCCACTGCACTCCAGCCCGGGCAACAGAGCCAGACTCTGTCTCAAAAAAAAAAATAAAATAAAATAAAAGAGCATGGCATGCATCCCCTCCCTCTCTCTTGCTGCCTCTGTTGCCACATAACACGCCTGCTCCCCCTTCACCTTCTACTATGATTGAAGGTTTCATGAGGCTCTCACCAGAAAGACAGATGCCTGCACCATGCTTTTTTTTCCATTTTGAGACAAGGTCTTACTCTGTCACCCAGACTGGAGTGCGGTGGTGCAATTTTGACTCACTGCAACCTCTTCCTCCTAGCTCAAGCAAGCTTCCCAATTCAGCATCCTGAGTAGCTGGGTGCACACCACCATGCCCAGTTAATTTTTGTATCATTTTTGGTAGAGATGGGGTTTCACCATGTTGCCCGGGCTGGTTAAAATGCTTCTTATATAGCCTGCATAATCATGAGCCAAATTTTCTTTATAAATTACCCAGTCTCAGGTCTTTTGTAACAACACAAAAAGGACTAATACAGTTTTTAATCCAAGAAACATACCCAGCCCACAGAAAGCATACAGAATACAAAACTAGAAAGGGTTGAGTGTGCCTGTGTGTTAGGTACAGCATCAAGGCAGGAGCTGGGAAGCAACCACAGTGACCCATAAACCAGTAAGTGCAGGTCCATGGTCCAGTAGTATTTGTATTGCAAGCTTATGAAAATGTGGAGAAAGGAGTTTGCAATCCATAGATTCTATTAGCAATTTTTACCAGTCCACTGAGATATTTACAGTTTCACCATTCTAAGTGAAACCAAGACTTAAATATTTTGCAATAGGGCCTGCCTTTTGAGTCTGTTCCATCCCATTCACCTCTCAGTGCCCTGATGCCACTTACACCCACAGCATCTGGGAAAACGATATAATTTATAGTTACTTAGATCCATTTTGATGGGCTTTACCTCAGACTACTTTATGATTTATGGAAAAGCAGAAAAACCTTCTCACCTTTAAAGAATCCCACATAGCTCAGCCTGAAGGCATTATTCCCCAGTGGTTTTTATTTCTTACCTTGCTATTTGTCCTCCAACTCATCTCCTTGGCACACACACACTCACACACACATACGCATGCAAACAGATAGGGCTCCAAACTACCAAAATGATGAAGTGGGAGAAGAGATTGATTTATGAGGGTAATACAAGGGGTATAACTAGAAGATAATGGGGTGAAATTGAGCAAAGGGAAGTGTAGGCTGAATCTCAAGAAACATTTCAACTCAACAGAGTGTAAAGCAAGATCCCAGGAGAAGCCAGGGAAGCCCTATGGCTGGAAATCATTAAACACTCAACCATGGGAAATAACAGGTGGCCTGGCTGGTAGAAAAAAAAAGGGAGCAGGGGTGAAATTTACATTTCACTAAAATCCTAGAACTGCTTTGCTAAATAAGCCACTCTGTGAAGGATGAGAGTTCCATCTCTGTATTATCTCTCTCCCTCCCTGCCCCAGCCCAACACACACTTCACAAACACCCATGCTCTCCACACACCTTCCAACATGATGATTGGAACTAGGGAACTCTTCATACACCTTACAGGGACTTTGGGGCTCTAATTCACATTAACCCTCTCTCCAATGTCCCTTCATTTCCCACATTTTCTTTCACTAACCATTATATTTATGCTAGTGCCCCAGTATGGGTAGCACTGCCCCCAGGGAAAGCAGACTGACATATATTCACACACACACACACACACACACACACACACAGTAGGTAGGAGGTAGATAGGAGGGTGGGTAGACAGGGAATCCATACTCTCTGTGACCCTTGGCTAGAGCTGGGCCAGTTACCAAAAGTAACCAAAACAGTACTGCTAGATATTGAGAATTAGTTTATAGTTCAGTGCCTTCTATTTTTAGTACTTTGATACTCTATTATGTTCCCACATTGAACCTGGTCAAAAGCTAAAATGCCTATAACTAGCACACAACTCCCCACAAACCCTGCAGCCAGAAGGTTCTCCCAGAAGAAAAGCTGACAACCCCAGTCATATGCACGATAAGGCTGGGGCAGTTTGCCAAACCCTCCTGCTGTGAAGATGGACAAAGGGACAAGAAAAAAATCACAATGATGCTCTCATTTCAAAGCCAGGTGAGGCCAGGGATTGGGTGTGACCTTTTGTTTCTGAGTCTGAGGTGTAAAGTTCTATGGGGTAGGATGGAGGACATAAACTCTGGGGAACATGACTTGTTAGTCTAGAGAAGTTGGGGACAGGACAGTCACCTCAGTGGCTGAAGTAGGTCAGCATAAACTGCCCTTAAACTTGACCCACTGGGAAGTGGTGGCCGAGGCATGCAGCACTCACAGCATCAAACCCAGGGGACCGTCACTGCAGATTTCCAGTCTGTTAGCGTCCTATGGACAAATGAAGTGTCACTTCTAGATCTACGTGTGTGCAAACCACGGCAGCTGAAGGTTGAAAACAACTAAACATAAGATTCAACACTGATCAGGTGAGAATGAAAATGAGGCCCAACTGTGACTAATTCTATGCTGGCTCCTGCAGCGCAGTGTCTGCTAAGGACAACTGGAAAAGCTTAAATGTTAGCATGTTACTGCCCTCTCCTGGGCAAAAGGTCAAAGTCGGTACAAATGTGTGAGTCATAACTTGTTGAAGTTTGTGCCCCATAGCGTCAATCTTTAATCCACTCTTTTACAAGCCTTTGAAAAAAGGTCTGCTTTTACCATCTTCCACATGCAAACCTCTCTCCATGACCACCACCATGTTACTTTTTCCATTGGAACCAAGGGCTTCTGAGATCACAGACTTCATCGGGGGGCATAAGTGATTGTGGAAAAGGGATTAGCATCATTTGCCAGAATAGCTGATATGACAGGGGTGGGGAGGACAGCCCAGAACTTCAGAGCTGATCTACTTTTTAAGCAAGAACCCCCTTTTCCTGTTTATTGCCCTGCAATTGTTCTAGGCAATTCTGGGTCTGAGAAAAACCCCTCCTACAATCTTCATCCCACTACACACTATGTCTATACTTCAACC